GCCGCGCTCTGCAGGCCTGCTCTGACTGCTCCCGGCTTGGACTCTTCTCTCCGGCCTCTTTCAGAGGCCGGGTCTGAGCCTGCGATGCTGGGCCCTGGGAGCTCGGGTCGGGCCCGTCCAGCCAGGTCTCTTCAGTCTTCCCAGAGGCAGCCAGGCCTCGCGGCTCAGGAGTCCGTGGAGCAACCACCAGCCCGGTCTCAAGCAGAACGCCGCATGGAAAAACCCCCTGCCGGCTACTCCAGAACGCTACGGGCTGCCAGCTCGAGTTGAGAAACCGCCGCCGCAGACACTACCAAACACCAGGCCCAGCTCCCGCGCCAGCCAAAGAGGACGCGCTCCAATAGCGCCACTTCCGGTCATGCGTACAGATCTCCCCGCCCCACCGGACTCCATTTCCCAGAAGTCTCCGAGCTCAGCTCCTGGCCAAAACCTGTTTCTCTGTGCCAGGTTTGTGCCCTTGAGGACCGCACTTCACAGAGAGGCTCCGCCTGTTCTTGCTCCCGGAATCTCTTATTTATCATGCTTTGTCCACATGCCATTCAGGTCCACCGGAATCCCACCGCGGGGACCTCTGAGGCGGAAAGCAACTTGGTCGCGAAGGATCCTGGGAGCTGCGGTTCTAGCGCAGGTGCAGACCTACGCTGGCCCTGGGGGCTTTATTTCTGCTTAATTCTCCTCCGTCGTTCCGCGTTCCGGAATACTGGGTCGCGGGGGTCCTCTCGGAACGCGACCTTCAGCTCAGGGCCTAACTCTAACCACCTTCAGGGTCCTCCAGCCTTTCAAAAGTTTGGGAAGAGGAAAGGAAAGGAGGGAGGGCCCCTCAGTGTGAGCAGGGCAGCCACGGGTTGGTGCCCTGGAACTCTCAGAATATAAAAACCTATCAGCGGGAGGGAACTTCTTCAGTAATTTCAGGGGTAGAAGCCCTGAATAGTGTTACTAGTGTTCCATAAGCACTATTGCGGGAGGAGATTCGTAAATATTCTATCCCTTGGAGCCTTCCGTGCTGTGCCAGAGGGTATTAAAATGGGCTTCCTTAGAGCACTGATGACATTTTCTCCTCTTGCCTGTTGAAAATTATTCACTACTCTGGCAATTTTCTGATCACTAATTCAGTTTTGAGGCATTTTGACGTTAAGAAGATGGGAATGCGTTACCTGGGAAGCAGAAAAGAGTTTGGGGGTCCTAAGGCCTCATTTCATTTTGTACTGTCTGTCCCTTTCAGCCGCAGCTGGTAGCGTTGCCAGTAGAATTATCTTAAGTTTGTGGGTCTTCTATGAATCTTGTTGGGATTCACTCCATTAGACAAGCCAACCCACAGATCTCTTTGAGATAAGATCTTCTTTACCTTGGGCTGCTGCAATTTTGGGCTTACAACTTTGGAGGCCAGACGTCTGAGATGGATCTCCTTGGGCTAAAATCAAGGTGTGGGGAGGGCTATGTTTCTTCTGGAGGCTCTAGGGGAGGATCGCTTTCCTTGCCTTTTCCAGCTTCCACAGGCTGCCTGCCTTCCTTGGCTCCTAACCCCCTACGGTTGGTGCTGTACTGCCCATGGCCACAAGGCCCAGCAGACGCTAACCCCATAACGGCCAGTCGGCAGTAGCGGTATTCCTTCCTCTTGGGATCCCAACCAGGGAGGGCCCCTGGGAGGTAGCAGAGTGCTTCACTCCTCAACAGGTGCAATTCCGCCTATGGCCACTGGGTGGCGTTAAGGCATTCATTGCCTCAAGAACGCAGAAGCCAGGATTCTCCTGGAAGTTCTGGGGGCAGGGATTGGACGTGGAGTGGGTGTGGGGTGCGGTGCAGATTTTTACCTTGGGGTAAAGCACAGCTTCTGCTGCTGTACCTGTCCTTTGGGGATGTTCCATCTGCCCTCCATGGTCCTGTGCCGGGCTTCTGGGGCAGATTGAGTGCTGTCAGCTGGGGCTGGCTCTGGTCCCTGAAGCATCTTGTGCTCTGATGAGGGGGCCCCAAGGAAGTCTTAGGGAACCTCTGAAGAGCGTGTGTGTGTGTGTGTGTGTGTGTGTGTGCAGTCATCAGTAGCTGTAAATGGATGCTGGTAGCAGAGATGGTATGAGTGGGAGTTGCTGAGAAATCAGGGTAGGAAATAGAATATGAAGAGAAAAATGTGTAAAGATTTAACATATCCCTTTGAGGCACCCCTTGAGCATCACACCTTGCATGCAGCTCCCAACCTTCACCACAGCCTCACCACCACCACCAGCTAACATCATTGAGTACTTATTCTGTGTCATCCTTAGTTCAAGGAGCTTTACATACTTCTCTCCTTTCATCCTCACAACAGCCCCATGAGGGAGATAGCGTCATTATGCCCATTCTACAGATGAATGAACTGAGGCTTAGAGAACTTAAATGACTTGTCCAGGTCACGCAGGCAGTGAGTAGTATAACCAGAATTTGAACTAAGCCCACTGCCTCTGAACCACTATGCTGCACAGGCTCCTGCACCCTGGGTTATGGAGGAAAGAGGCCAAGGTAGAGTTGAAGCCACAGTGGCATTTTCCTTGCCCACAAGTTTAACTGTCTCCACTTGCAACATCACCATCACCTCCATGTCTGTCTCCCTCACGTCCATCTCTGTTTTCTGTCTCCATCTCTATCACCATCACCTTTCCAATCTCCATCATCTCTCTCATCTATCACCTCTCTCTCTCTCATCTCTCCTCTGTTCCATCTCTCTCATCTCCCTCTCTAATTCTAGATGTCGTAGCAGAATTATCAATAAGCAGAAAACCAAAAACAATCTGAATATGGAACAATGTGAGGTTGATTTAAGTTCTGACATATTTATACAACAAAATCCTCTTAATTTGTTGAATTTAACAAATATTTAAGCACCTGCTCTTTACCAGACACTATGACTCCCATGGCAAACAAATCGTTCAAAGAATGCAGAGAGCTTCCATTTCAAGCTGGTGGACTGAACTTACACATTTTCCCTTTCTCTTCCTCTAGTTCCCACTGAAACGACAGTGAAGATATGTAAAGGAAACAAAAACCATCACAGAACTGAGAAGAGGTGCAGAGGTAGGGGGCATATACCAGCCACTGTAATTAAAACCCCCTAGTTCTTCATTCCTAAATATGGACAACCAAAGCTCCCCAGATCCTTGAGATAAACCAGCAGCATAGAAGAGAAGGACCAAGACAACCTGACTGATTCCAGAAGAAATCAGAGCCTAGGGGACAACTTTCAAAAAATTTAAATGTGCAAATGGTTTTATTCATAATAGTGAATACCAAGCGTTGTTGAGGATGGGGAGCGACTGGAACTCTTGTGCGCTGCTGATGGGAAAGCAAAATGGTACGACCATTTCGGAAAACCATTTGGCAGATTCTTAGGGTGTAGTTAAACATAAACTTACCACAGGACCCAGTAGTGGAACTGTATGCCATTGTTACAACAGCTTTAGTGATGACAGCCCCAAATTGGAACTCGCCCAGATGTCCAATGGAACACTACTCAACAGCTAAAAGAGATGAACCGCTGGTGCACGCAGCACAGATGCATCTTAAAAGCACTCTGCTACGGGGCGCCTGGGTGGGTTAGCCGGTTAAGCATCTGCCTTCGGCTCAGGTCATGATCCCAGGGTCCTGGGATCAGGCCGGCATCGGGTTCCCCAGGGAGCCTGCTTCTCCCTCTCCTGCTCCCCTCTGCTTGTGCTCTTTCTCTGTCAAATAAATAAATAAAATCTAAAAAAAAATAAAAAATAAAAACAACACTCTGCTAAGTTACGGAAGCCAGACGCAAAATACTACAAACCATGTGATTCCATTTTATGAAAGTTTAGAAAACACAAAGCTACAGAGACAAGGCTGACTGCAGAGGGACATGAAGGAACACTTCGGGGTGAGGAAAATGTCCTATATCTTGATTGTGTGGTGGGTACACAGCTGTGTATACATTCAACCTAAGTCATCAAATTTTTATGCCTACAATTGTTGAGTTTTATAGTATGTATTTGAATTTTATGGTATGTAAATAATGCCTTGATAAAGTGAATTTTTAAAATATTTTTAAAAGTGAATGTATGTATCCTCAGGGAAACCCCAAAAGGCATTTCCATCACAAAGAAAAGTATAGGATGCTATGAAAAAGGAACATATAGTGCGATATAATTGAAAATCATTGTCAAAGCACCAATCAGAAAAAGGCTGGAGTGGTGATACTGGTAACAGACAAAGTAGACCTCAGAACAAGAGATATTACCAGGGACAAAGAAGGTCATTTCATAATGCTAAAGGACAAAAACAATCAGAATACAACAATCCCAAATGTGCACACAGCGAGCCATGAGCTCCAAGGTACCTGAAGCAAAACACAGCAGAAGTGCAAGGAGAAACAAATTCACATTCATAGGTGGAGATTTCCACACTTCTCTCTTGAGGTGGGCACATGGTGGGACTGCACAATTCAGATTCTGAATAAAAGTGTGGCGTCCTACTTGTGTATAGTGATGCTAGAAAGGATATATGTTGGGAGGGAGATCTTTCAGGATAGAACCAAATTCTTAAAAGAAGTTAACTCTGGAAAGGTACAGCGGTGAATAATTATTGCATCATTTATCCAAACAAATGAGTTAATACTTATAAAGTGCTTAGGGCAATGCCTAGCAGACAGTTAACTATTATATAAATAATTATACTAAGTAAATCTAGGTTTTTCAGTTTTCCTACAATAAACATGTATTACTTACATAGTGGATAATAAAAGCAACCTGTAAGACTTCTGGCTCCATTAAAGTCAATAGAAAAAGAGATGCTTTTTTGTTGTTAATGAGATTTGATGACTAATGATCCAGGGGACTGGGCCCAAGGAAGGAGCCAGAAATGACCTCCAAGAGCCAAGAGGAAGCCTGGCAGACCATGAGAAAAAGGAAATCATAGATGTTCTTGGCAAGGCCCAGTTTATGGGAGGCCTACTTTGGGAAGGGATCAGAAAATACCCTTCTCAAACACACAAAGAGGCCATGACCTGATTTTTCTGAGTCAAATCTTTATTTGGCAAACAAAGCTCCTTCCTGATAATGCAGCCATGGAGAGGAGAAACCAGGGACCACCCCTCAAAAGCATCTCCTCCAGAAAAGGAGGAGTCAAGAGTCTCCCTCCTCTGCTGTTGCTTTCATGGCAAGATGGAGATGGCCTGTGGACAAAGGACCACAGAGCAACAAGGCCACTCCAGGATGTTCCCTCCTCCGGGGTCACAGAGGGGTGGCGGGAACTGGACCCAGGGGCCGGGAACCTCATACCCATGGTCCGCTGGGCTGTAGAGAGCCCGGTAGGAAGGAAGGGCCCTGGAGGACAAGGCTCCAAGGGGCTGCGGTCCTGGACTCCAGCTCCCTGGGGACAGGCAGGGGCTCCAGGCTCTGGCTGAGGCCCAGCTTGGCGTCACAGGCGGGCTCCGCCCCCCGCTGAAGCCCAAAGCCGGCCCTGCGAGGAGGGACAGCCGCTCACGAGAGGGGGTTGTCACCGCCCCTCAAAATGGGCTGTGATTTGCTCCAAAGTCTGTCCTTTGGTTTCCGGGACACAGGACAAAGTGAAAAAGACACTGAAGATGCAGAAGGCGGAGGCAAGCCAGAAGGCTCCGTAGGGCCTGAGCACCTCCTGGAAAGAGACGGAAAGGCCAGGTGTGGACACAGCAGAAGGCCAGGAGCCCTCCCGAGATCCCAAGCTCAGGCCCCAGCCTGCCTTGCCCAGCTCGGGGGGAGTGGAGGAAGGTCTGGCCCCGCCTTCCAGAAGCCTGGGCCAAACACCTGCAGGGGGTGGACGTTGCGCAGATGGGGAAGCTGACGCTCACTGTCAGACTTCTGCATCAGGGACAGCTGGGCCCCCACCCCGGGGTCTGCTTCCAGGGCCCCCACACCCACTCTCTACGCTCTGCTTCGGCCCTGTGCTGAGTTCCCTGCCTCCGGAGGAGTCTCTTCTCGGTGCCTGGGGGAACAGGTGAGCTCTCAGCAGGTTGAGATGGGGCACACGGGGCCCACCAGCGCGGAGGGAAGAGCGAGCGGTTCCCTTCACTCAGAGCCTGGCCGCCCTCCCAACGCAGGCCCAGTGACCTCCCAGGTGCCTGAACCAAAGCCCCCTCCCTTGTTAGCTCCTCTTCCTCTGGGACCCATCACTGCCCTTCCCCCAGAAGTTCTTCTCTCAGCCTCTTGGATGCTGTGCACCCCTGGGTCCCTTTAGGTCCTTTACCATCTCCTCCCTCTGTTGTTGGTCCCCCCACAGCTCCCAGCAAGTCATTTCCATCTCTAAGTCTCTGCCCTGGTCTTCCCAGTGTGCTCCCCAGGGCAGCCCATCTGAGTGGGCCCAAGCCCTGCAGAGACTCCAGGCCAGCCCCAGGCATCCACGCCTCTCACGGCCTGCCCCTCCTTGCTCTAGCCCAGCCTCCTGGTGGTTCGTCCTCTCTCCACTGCCATCCCGGTCTGGTCGGAAAGGGCGCTCTGTCTACCTCACTGCTATCTCTGGCTCCTTGAACAGGCCTGGCCATGGTATGTCCCAGGAGACGTGGAGGGGAATGAATGCCTGAACAGGTGGCCTATCTGCTCCAGAAACATCCTTCCCTATCAGCTGGGGAGCCCCTGAGGCAGGAGCCAGGTCTGTGTCAGGTCATCCGTGCGAAAGTAGCGGGATGTTAAAATGAACTGATGCTCCCACAACCGTTAAGGGGAAGCTGCCGTCACCCTCCTCCATTTTCAGCCAAGGAAGCTGGTTCTGAGAAGGTGAGCAGCACACCCAAGGTCACACAGTGGGAAGTGGCCAGGGTGGGGCTTAGAGCCCAGGCCTATCAACTCCAAAGCCAGGGTACTTCCCACACAGCCCTATAACCTGGCCCATGTCCCCAGCGTCCAATGGCAGAGGCCAGTCTTGCTGTCCTTCTGCCAGGATAGCCTGAAGTCTCCCGAGTGGTCACAGCCTAGGTCCCTCACCTTCCTGGCCCATCAGGCCTCCCCTCATCCCCGACCAAGATGGCTGGTGTCCCAGGAGGGTGGCTTCAGCCTGCATGCGAGGCCACTGACCCCGAGTCTTCCGCAGTAAGAGTAATTCTAAAAACTGCTCCCCACCGACTACGTGAGGAGGAGGCCCTCTGGGCCTGCACTCACCATGACACTGCTGAACTCCTTTGTCACCAGGAAGGCCATGAACCAGTTAGTGAGGACGCACACACCAGTGGCCATGCCCTTGACGTGCAGAGGAAAGATCTCAGACATGAGGAGCCAGGGGATGGGCCCCCAGCCCAAAGCGAAGCCTGTGGGAGCAAGACAGGCATCAGAGCCCATGGGGACGGACCCTTGGGCTTGCCACAGCACCCTTGGGCCAAAGCCTCACGGTTTCCAGTCTGGGTCCCCCAGCTCTGAGCCTTCCTCCGCCTCAGGCGGGTCCCTCCACTGCTTACGCATCAGGCTTTTCTCTGTAGAACGGGGTCATGATGGGGCCTGCTCGGAGGGCTGTTTGGTGGGGCGGGGATTAAGTGAAAGGGGCAGTGCCTGGGACATGGTCAGAGCCATAAACGCAGAGGTGGGGACCCATGTGGTAGAGAGGCAAGGCCCGGTAGGCCTGGACTTGCTGGGAGCTGCAGGAACCTGGTGGTGACAGGATGTCCCCATGCCCCCCCCCAACCTCCCCACGGACCCCCTCCTCACCGGCAATGAAGAGGCACATGCTGCCCACTGCCAACCAGGCCAGCCCCACGCTGGCGCTGGCGGGCTCCGTGGAGAGAGGCGTCAAGAGGTCCACATGTGAGGAGTTGCTGGGGCCGCCCTGGGTCAGCTTGAAGTAGGCGCCAAAGGCACTGGTGCTGAACACCATGACCACACCTGCAAGTGTGCAGGAGGGTGGCAGTGGGCAGGGCCCTGGGAGAAGGGGACCGCAGCCCGGGCACATGGCACTCAGGGCTGGAGTCTTGGTGTGGTGTGGCCACAGCAATGGGGCCTGGCTTTCTCTGGGAGGCCAGCGAGCGGTGGTGCCTGGGAGCCCAGACTCACGGCACCCGGCCCGGTCCTGCCAGCCCCGGCTTGGACCTTGAACCACAGCAGACTCCGAGCCTCCTCGTGGCAGAGCCTCCCTAGCCTGAGGAGCTGGAGGGGTAACTGTGGCAGCAGCTCGGTCTTGACCCCCATGCAGATCATCTCGGGATCCTCACGATGGCCCCGTCGCCCCCATTTCAAACAGGGGAAACTGAGGTTCAGAAAGGTGAAGTCACTTGCCCCAAAAGACCCCAAGCTTCTGAGTCACTTCCCCCCCTGAGTCCTCAGTTTCCTTGTCGTAAACTGGGCTCCTGATGGCGCCTGCATGGAGGCTCGCTGCGAGGGTTAAGGCACGCTACGGTGACGCTGTCAGCACAGGCCTGGTCTGGAGCGAGCGCTCAGTAAGGGCGCCCATGAATCTCGGCCTTTCCTCCCGGGTGCTTGGCTGGCCTTTCCCTGCTGCCATGCGGTGGCCTCAGCAAAGACCCTCCGGCCTGTGGTGGGGAGCCTGGCCTGCGCCACCCCACTTTCACAGGGCTGAGCCCTGGCCCTGGGGCCTCACCTGACAAGGTCAGGAGCAGCCTCCGCCCAGCTCTGTCCATGATGAGGGCCGCCATGGCCGTGAACAGCACCTGGATGACACCCACGATGACCGAGGCGAGGCTGCTGTCCTGGGGAGATGGGCCGAGGCGGGTCAGGCAAAGACCCCGGGATTAGGCATCCAGATGGCAGGCTGGGGCGGAGGCCTCTTTACCTTGAACTTGGCCTCCTCAAAGATGGTCTCTGCATAGAACATGACAGCATTGATCCCTGACAGCTGCTGGAAGGCCATCAGCGATATGCCAATGATGAAGGGCTTGTAGATGCCAGGATGCCTCAGCTGGGCCAGGTGGAAGCCCTGCTCAGATAGAGGCCGGTGTCAGTGCTCCTCCCTACCCCCGCCTGAGGGGCGTGCTGGCTTCCAGCCACTGTCCTAAAGCCTGGTCGAGGGAATGAGCCTCAGCTTCTTATCACCTGGGCCTTGTGTCCAAGACAGGTCCCCGCATCATTTTAGCCTCACCATTTGTAAGGTGACAAGATCCTCACCTCCCCGTGGCCCTTCCTGATTTGCTGGTGAAACCACGAAGAGATTATATGGGCACAAAGCCAGGGGTTCCAGAATCCCACCAGCTCCAGGCCTAGGCCTGAGCCGAGCACCTCTCCGGGCATCGCTGAATCCCTACCACCACCAGGCATGTGCTAGGACTCCCATCTTACAGATGAAGAAAGGAAGGCCTAGGGATGTGACGGGCACGGAGACTCTGTCTTCTCCCCTGTCCTACAACACCTCATTTAAAACTCCAATTCCTCAAGTCTGCACCCGTGATTCCCTGTGACCCAGCCGGCATTTTCTCTTTCTGGAACAGTAAGGTCAAGGCTAGGGCCCAGCCAGGTAGTGGGCTCCAGCCGGCCTTTGCTTGCTCCCCCACTTGTGCCTCCCTTCCTCGTGTGTGGGTGTGTGTGTGTGTGTGTGTGTGTGCGTGCGCGCGCGCGCGCGCAGCCTTGGGAACAGGCTGTGCTGGCCTCCCCCGGCCGCAAAAGGGCCATACCTCACTGTTTCCTACCCCCGCACCCCCATCCTGCCCCAGTGCTGGCTCCCAGCCCCTCACCTGGTGTTCAGCCCCGACAGGGGGCTCCTCCCAGACCTGTTCAGAGCCCCACAGGAACTGCATAGCGGCCGTGGCTTCCTGGCGCCTCTGCTGGGTCAGCAGGAAGCGCGGGGTCTCGGGCATGTAGCACATGAGCAGCATCATGAAGGACGCAGGCACGCAGCCCAGGACAGCCAGCCAGCGCCACTCCAGGACCCAGCCTGGTTGGGGGACGGGGGACAGGGCGGGGGGGTCAGATATCAGAGCCGGAGTGGGCCAGGCTGGATCTTATCGGGACTGGCCTGCCCTCTCGCCAACCCTAGGGACTCAGCTTCAAGGGTGGGGGCCGCACTACCTCTGTGTGGCTACGCTCGTGTCTGTCACCAATATTGTTACCAACTGGGGTTGATAAATATTGTAGAAACGCTGGTGGGCACATCATGATGCTACATCTGCTCAGTGAATATTTATGTGGCAATTAAAAACAGAATGAGGCACTTGCTCTTTGTCTAAAAGGTAGGGGAGGGAGAATAAATATGCACAGACTCTGGAAGGCCACCAAAAAGCAGGCGAGGTTGGCTCCTCTGGAGAGGAAAGGGGATGGAGTGGGAGAGACTTTTCATGGAACACCAGTGGATCAACAGTCACAGAAACCGATCAAAAAATGTGCTGGTTAGGATGAACTGGAGGGAATTCTGTAGGCATACTGACACCCATGTGTCTGTCCCAAGTGTCAGGGTCTGTATTTGGCAGGAGCTTTGGCACCCGCAGGGCCCCCAAAGCTACCAGACTGCTGGCAGGACTCTGAATTACAGTCTGGATGGTAAGTGGGCGAAAATCAAAGAGCCCAGACCAGGATGTCACCCACTGTGAAGAACCAGAGGGCACATACTCCAGGCCCTCTGGGTCTCACTCAGCACAGGCCTTGATAATTCTCATTAACAGCCTTGGACTAGGTGGGGTTATCTCTGCTTAAAAACAGGGGAAGTGAGGCTCTCTGGGGCAGTGTGACTAGGCCAAGGTCACACAGCCAGTAAGCGTCCCCTGACATGGGACTGTCTGATGTGAAGCTTCTCTCCACCCCAGTTCTGGTGAAAATATGTCTGCCTCCAGAAGCTTCCTCATGCTGACCCCAGCTCTGCCCCTCGGGCCCCCTGGAACCCTCCTCTTTCACACTGCAAATCCAGTACTGGTATTTCTGAGAGACATGCTTGGGCCTTCCAAGCTCCTGAACTGAAGAGTTTTAGGGGTGCCCCAGCCACCCCCCTGAATCCTCAGTTTGTCACTGTGCAGTGAGGTACTGACCTAACCGGTCAGCCCCCAACCCCCAGCCCCCTTGGAATGGGCTTCTGCCCTGGGAAGGTGAGGACATCACCTTCTCCAGCTCTCCCTGGAATGTAGTCACAAGACCCACATGTCCCAGGGGCTCAGGGAGGTGGTCTGTGTGACAGGCTGTGTGACTTTGGGCAAGTCCCTTGACCTCTCTGAACTTCAGTGTCTACATCTATAAAATGGCCACACAGCCATTAACGGGGATCAAAAGGGAGACTGTGAAAACTACCTGCCAGGTAGGCCAGGAGGATGCCTATGACGACCATCAGTTGCACACAGGAGCCCAGCAGCCCCCTCACTGAGGGGTAGGAGATTTCAGAGATATATACCTGTTGGTAATGAAGAGGAAACTTTACTCAGGGCCAAGAGTTCTTAAAACTGAAAAGCCTCAGCCATTCACAGTTGAGGAGAGCCTCAGTGGGGGGGGGGGGGGTGGTGCTGCATGCCAGGTGAGCCTCTAATTGCAGGTCCCAGGTCAGCAAAGCCCTCTCCATACCTCCCCGCCTCTCCAAGTGAGCAGCAGCGGGTGTTTTAAGATTAAGGATATATATATGGCTTGCTGTGTGTGTGTGTGTGTGTGTGTGTGTGTGTAGGGCACACAGCTTTTCAAACTTTCATTTCATTGTATGACTACCCTGGATAAAATGCAGGTTCTGATGCAGTAGGTCTAGGGTGGGGCCCAAGACTCTGCCTTTCTTTTTTTATTTAATTCATTTATTTGAGAAAGAGCACAAGCGAGGGAGGGGCAGGCAGAGGGAGAAGCAGGCTCCCCGCTGAGCAGGGAGCTCCATATGGGGCTCCATTCCAGGACCCCGAGATCATGACCTGAGCCAAAGGCAGACGCTTAACCACCTGAGCCACCCGGGTGCCCCCAAGATTCTGCCTTTCTAACTAGCTCCAGATGACACCCAGGTGACTCCAGATGACCAGTGGTGCCCTTGGAGTGAAAGCCAACTCTTTGCCTCAGTTGCTACCATTGACTGCCACTGCTTCCTCTGGGCTCAGGGGCCAAAAAGGTCTGCCCATACTTCTAGGTTATTCTGTACCTTATGCCCATGACTAAGATGGGTGTGTTTTTGTCCAAAACATAAAAACCAAAACCCAAAACATAAAATCCGACTCAGCTGCTGACTGCTGCCCCGCAAATGCGGGTAAAATGAGTGGTGGGTGCAAAAGGATGACCAGGGAGGACTCTGAGCCACTCTATTAATCTTGACCAGGTTGGCGTGTGGGCTAACTGTTGGCAGCCAGACCAGTAAACTGTTCTGCTGGCTACCAAGCCCCGTAGCCAGCAGAACAGTTTACTGGTCTCCCTGCAATTTCAGCTGCCAGGGTCCAAGCCCTCCACAAGCCATGCCAGGGCTATATGTGCGGTCTTGCTTAATCCCCACAACCACTGCATGAGTAAGGCCATTATTCCCATTTTACAGGGGAGGAAACTGAGGCACAGAGAGGTATACTCTGCCCCAGTAAGTGACAGACCCGGGATTTCACCCAGGTAGATGGCTCCCGAGTCAGCCTGGACAGTGGTGCATGGGGAGATGGGAAGAGAGAAGAGGGGAAGCAGCTGGAGGACTAGTTCCTGAGGAGTGAAGGGGAACAGCAGAGAGATCAACGGCCTTTGCCGGGAGGACAAACCAGAATAGGATTTTCCTGCTAAACCATAGTCAGTAGTCTGAATGACAATGGGAGGTCTAAGCCTTACTGTAGGCTTCTGGGACCATCCACAGATGGTACTCATTTGCAGAGCAAAAGAGAGGCCTGGTTAAGTGGCACAGTCCTGGGTATGAGTAATAGCTTCACCACCGACTAGCTGTGGCTCGACAAAGGGCTTCAGTTTCTGAAGCTCCCTTCATCTGTAAACAAGGATAACAGCAGCTCCTTCCAAGGCCCGTCGCCGGGGGAAGGAAGATAAAGCTGGCGAGGGGCACGGTGCCAGGCACCCAGGAGGCCGAAGCCAGGGAGAACCACGTCCCCGGGTTCGCTCCTTCCCGGTCCCAGGGCGCGAGGCTGGGGGACACTCACCGGGGCTACGAGCGAGGCAATACCGCAGGCCAGGCCGGTTAGGAGGCGGCCCCCGAGCAGCATCCACACGTTCTGGGCCGCGGTGATGACTGCAAAGCCGACCACGAAGGGCACGGTGCAGAGCAGCAGGGTCAGCTTGCGCCCGGCGCGGTCCACGAGCCAGCCGCCCAGCACGCCCCCAGCCGCGGCTCCCAGGGTCACGATGGCCTGGGGGCGCAGCGACCGCAGGTTGGAGCGGGGGCGCCGCAGGGCCGCGGCCCAACCTCGCCCCCAACCCCAACCCCGGCAGCTTCCCAGAAGAGGGGATGGGGGAGCCGGGCTGGCGGTCGGGGCGGGGGGGAGGGTGACCTCGGCAGGAGAGCCGGGACGCACCCGGCCGAGGGTCTCAGTGCCCGCCCGAAGCCAGGTAAGCGCAGGGGTCCCTCGCGCGTGCGGTGGAGGAGAAGGGGCCCCGGCGGGCTGGAGGGTGAGCCCGAGGCCTCACCCCGAACCAGGAGGCGGCGTCGTCATCGAGGCGCAGGGCTGGGGACGCGGCGCGGCGCAGACTCGGGATGGCCGGGGAGCTGTAGCCGAGCGCGAACCCGAAGCTGAGCGGGCCCAGGGCGGCGGCGAAGGCGGCGAGGAAGACCCGGCGGCTGAGGGGAGCGCTGCGGGGACAGGGCAGCCGGTGAGCGGCGCCGGCCTGGGCGCAGTAGGAAGGGGCGAGGCCGCGTCCCGGGCCCGGGTCCCCCCACCCGCTCACCTGCCGCCGGGCGGCCCCAGGAGCGGCTGTGTCTCCTCCTGGTCCTCCGGCGTCATGTCCGCAGCCAACGCCTGCTTGGTCAGCTCTGTTGCCTGAACCGTCACGGATCCCGCGAGTGCAGCCGGCACCCGCCTCTCACGGCAGAGCGGGCCAATAGGCGGGGAGGGGCGGCTCTGGGGCGGGATGGGAACGACCAGTGGGAACGCCAGGCGGGGTTAGCCTTGCGCTAGGAGCCACCCTCCAAATCAAAGCCGACCAATGGGAGCAAAGAGCCGGTTGGCGAAGCTCACTGGATCCGCCCCTAGGACCTGGAGAGCCAGTGTTTAGGTGGGGCGGAGTTTGTATGTGGGCCTGGAGTAGAACCATCCAATAGGAGTGTGGTGCGAACCCAGAGGCGGGATCAGAAAGCTGCCTCAGGCGGAGCCAGCCAATGAGGGCGGAAGGCGGGGATCGCATCTGCTCCTGGAGCCGCCTCTCAGTCAAGCTTCAACCAATGAGGCTACCAGCAGGACGAAGGTGGAGCAGGTGCACCGCCCACAGGCCTTCCCGCCCCGACTCTGGGCAGTTGCGTCTGTCCTGCCTGGTCGGCTCTGCGGTTCCTGCTCTGCGTTAACCGGTGCCCTGCGGCCGGGGTTCAACGCTCCTGGCCCAGCTCAGCTCACTGACAGCCGCAGGGAGGAATGTCTCCAAGCGACTGTCCTGGGCCGCTCTCTTTCCTCGCGGAACCTGGGCTGCCGGGGGCGGTGGCATGGCCCTGCGCGTCGCAGCCCATCTCGGTGCCGGTCATAACTCGGAGCCCGCAGACCGCTGACGGCTACGAGCCGACAACCACCAGGACCTCGAGGTGCTGAGGACCTGTATTGGGCAGGGCCCTCATATGTGTGACTGATCGGGGCTTAAATGGCGAGCCCTAGGCTTCCTGTTAAGTTCCACCCACTTCACAGGTCATCCTGACTCTTGAATCTTCATCTTAACACCTGCCGTCTTTGAGTCTCCTGCGGCTATTAATAGCCAACTTCTTGAGCACCCAAGTGACTGATGGAGGTAGGATGATGTCAGGGCTCTGAAGGATTTTGCCATCTGTACCCAACCCTTCTTGGGATGAGGCAGCTGAGGTGAAGCGCTGTGTAATTCTTCAAAGTACCAGGGCTATGAGAGTAAGAGGTTTGGTTTCTAATCCCTCTCTGGGCCTCTGTTTCCTCGTCTCTAAGTGGGGATGACAATATCTACCTTCCGGGAGGGTTTTAAGCAGAGGCAGTCAGTGTACACGAAAGATCAAGCACATGTGAAGCACTCAAATGCTAGCCCATATGATTATGAAAGTTGTTCAACCTAGTGCAGGCTCCTGATTGTACTATCTGTAAAGACAGGCAACCGCCCTTCTATGCCTCCACAGCATCTTGTGCTCGAGTTATAAATTCTTGTCCGAGCACTTATCACTACCGTGTGATCACTTGTTTACTTCCCTCCCTCCCTTAATGGATGTGACCTCTTCCTCCACACAGTGGGCCCTTGGTGTTTGCAGAGTGGACGAATGCCTCCAACTCCATGGGCAAACTGCTGCATTTACACAGTGCAGTTAACTCAGCCAGGGGGGTAGGCAGAAGGGCTTATGTGGACAGGATGCTCCAGGGAGCCCAGCTAGGACCAGCCCTCTGAGCCACAGGCCCCTACAAACCTGCTCCTGCCCTCTGGCTGGCGGTCTCGCTTCCCAAGGGTGCAGCATTCACTTCTTGGCCTTTGTAAGCAGATATTGCTGCCAGAGCAGCCTCCTATCCCCCTTTTATAAGGTAATCACCATCGATCTGATTAGTAGGGTCCATTTCTTGCCCTGTCTACATTCACTCCTCAGATTTTGACTCTTGTCAAATCATGGGGCAGTTCTGATGCTTCCAATTTCTTTGGAAGAATGTTCTAAATCACCCTTGGTTTTTTTTATTCCAGGCTGAGAAGCAAGAAACTCCGGGGGGGGGGGGAACGATGACAGAAAGAACACACAGACAAACTCATAAAGCTTACAAATTAGTTTAACATGAAAAACACCAGTCAGATCCAACTGACACAAGGCACTCAGCCTGACTCTGCATGGTGGACAGGGGAGAGAACAGAGCTCTGGGGTCAGAGAACTCAGAGTTTCAAATCACTGTCCCTTTCTGAGCCTCAGTTTACTTATTTGAAAAGCAATAATAATAAAATCTAACTCCCAAAACTTTTCACGAGGTTGCGATACAGCATAAGGGGCAGAAGGAAACAGAGAGGAGGAACGGCAATGCTGACTACAGCTAGGGCATACCTGGCTATACCTAGAAAGCACCGTAGGCACTACTCTCGCCCTCCTGCCGTCTGCTGAAGGGAACCAGGCAGCCTTCACTGGATCCAGCGTTTTGGGCTGTTTCCTGCACAAACACCACAGAGGCAGTTGTGCAACAGGCAGACAAGGGAGCTCTCCCCACAGTGTGCAAGGCCCATGAGGAGGTAGGACCCAAACTTCTGTAAAATCTGTCCAATCAAGGTCATGTCAAACACAGCTCCCTGCACTCCCGGAGAATGCGTGCAGAAGAACCTTCAGGGATGCTTTCACGGGGGGAATGATTTAAAGTTTCTTTTGGTGGGTAATTTAGGCAAGAAGAGAGCTAATAAAATGGAATCCGTTAGACTAAAGCCAAAGGTAAATTACCTCCTTCACACAGATTAAAATTTTTACAGTGTCAGTGAAACTAGGTTTCCCCCTTGGATCTCCCGTGGCTAGAGGCTGACATTTCACGGTTTCATTTGCACTTGGTCAAGCCCACATTTTCTTCTCACTTTGAGGAGGGGGCAACAGAAGGCAAGTGATGACAAGAGAAGGACAATCATTTGGTTCACATGGAAGAGCAAAGCAGACCTGAACATGAGAAGGGAATTTGAGGATGATGATTTTGGTGACAAGGAGTGACTATGGCCTGGCTATATGATTTCAGAGTAACTACAAAACCAAACAAAATAATCTTAAGACTCTTAACAGGCTTTGTGAGACACAAGGAGGGAGCAGGAGCTTCTAAGAACTAACCATTCAGCTTTTCTCGAAAGTCTACAGGCAGGGACACAGCTGGTTCCAAACTCAGTGAACTGAAACAGCAACAGGGGCCACATGTGCAGAAAGAAAACTTATTTATGATAAATTTAAAAAGCAATGGCTTTTCTTTATAAAAGAAACACAATATGTGACATAAATCAAAACCATAATGAAAAAATAATTTTTCCATCAAAGTATATAAAATACAAGAGAAGGTTGCAGTAAATAAGAATGAACATTTTTGATTTATTCAAAGTCTCAATCTAAAACCTCAATGAAATCTGCTACCTTTATTACAAGGGGACTGATGGTTCCTGAACAGAAAGAAACAAAGGTCAAGAAAGATGGCACCGGACATTGGAGAGATCCAAACCGGCCAGGTGTGCAGAAGGTTTGGTCCAGTAGATCACGGGTGGGCTAAAAGCCACATTTTGTTGAGAAATGCTGTCAGAACTGGTTAAAGAGTATAAACCTCCATAAGAAAATGAAAGATGGCAAACTCGATCCGGACCCTGTTTACTTCAGGTCAATAATGTCTTCATCCGAGGAAGCTGTGAGCTGAAAGGGGCTACTGCCCCACACGGGGCTGCCTTCTCTGTCCGCCACAGGGTCCTGGTCAGAGCCCATCGAGTGGTAGCGTCCCTCGGGGTTGGCTTCTGGAGCAGAAGGACTTTCCAAGGAGCCCGTGGTGATCCTAGAAAAGTCACGTAAGGGATCCCTGGAGAGCACTAGTGACCTGGGCCCCTTCTGTCAGGCAGTTTCCTGCTCATTTGAGCTCATAAAGCCTGTATCCCCTCACCCCCCACCCATTAGTGGGGAAAGGTGGGCACATGCAGGAGTCAGCCAGCCCTACCTCATGGGCTGTTGGGAGTTTTATAGGCCAGAGGCGACACATAGGAGGTGTTTGAGGTGTTTTTTACCTTTCTAAAGGGCAAATTGGGATAATGTCACTCTCTGCCTAAAACCCTCCTGGGTTGGGGCTCCCTATGGCCTGAGGATAAGGCTGAAACTCCTACCCACAGGACCACAGACCACAGGATCTGGCCCTGGAGACCCTTCTGCCTCCTCCCAGCCCACCCCACCCCCTTGATTTTTCTCTTGTACTCAGGACACTCTCTTGATAGCTGCAAAACCAATTTGACCAAGTTCAGGGGGTTCATTCATTCAACAAGTACTCATTTGGCCTGTGAAGCCCCCGGCCCAGCCTCTGGCCACTCAACAGGCTGTGCCTTTCAGAGCCTTTGCCCCTGCGGTTCCCGTCGTTCCTTCTGATTCAATCAAAGCTTGGCTCAATGCCACTTCCTCAGAGAAGCCCTCTTGATACCCCCTTCCCAAAGGAGAACTCCTACCCACGCCCCCCAACTCTTACCTTTTTAAAAATTTCCTTTACAGCACTTGTCACTATTGGAGACGATTTAATCTGCTTAATTGTTTACAGGTTTATGGTCTGTGTCTCCACACTAGAATGTAAAGCCCTGGAAGGCAGGACTTGCCACACAGCAGGAGCTCGGTTTGTGGGATTAAAGCATCTGTGAGTGCTGCCCCCTCTCGGCCAGGCTGATGCCTACTGGATCTATGGACCTGGCTCAGCCTTTCCTGGTGTTTGAGACCCTCCCTGCTCCAGGTGGGGGGTGGCTGGCACTCCTCATTCCTCTGCATCACCTGCCACCCCGGAATGCTGCAATTCCTAGAGTGTTTTGTTGGCCTTCCCCCCTGGCCTGTGGACCCCCCGAGAGTGACCTTCATATCCCCAACATCCAGCTCAGTGCCGGGTGCCCTAAGAATGTGTGTTGAATGAATTAGTGGATCCTGGACATGCGCCCCCTTACCCTCCATACAGGAGCTTGAGGGACACGGAAGCTCTTAGGGGACAAATCAGTGGGATTTAACAAACGTTCATTGACGCGGGATACTGAACTGCCATCCCAAAAGGCTGTACCTGCTCTATTCCCACGAGAAGCATTAGGAGAGGGCCTATTATCTGTCGCTCCTACTGAGCATTTTCACTTAAAAATACCTCTGTCGGGGCGCCTGGGTGGTATAGTCAGTTAAGCATCTGACTCTTGGTTTCAG